ATAAGGAGGATTACAAAGGAGAATCAGAAAGATTGAGAAAACTTTTCGATAAGGTAGAGGGGCCCCTTAAAAAGTTTGATGGGGCCCTCAAGAACGATATGATTATGAAGAGTAAAGGAGCTCATGTGACAATCAAACGTACAAGCATCAACCCTCTACTTCATATCATTCTACAAAGCTATTGAGCCAAAATGTTTTTTAGGACCAAATTACAACAAAAACAGAAAAAGACGCACAGAACCAGAAGAGGAAGACAAGGAGGATGACTAATCAATAGACCCCAAAAAAAGACGTATGTGAGGGGAATTTAGGTATTTTTAACTTGAGCCCGACATCTTTAAGTCCTGAAGAGGGTATGATGTTGAGCAAAGGTTTAAAATTTGCCCCTAAAACCCAAATTGAATACATTCCAAACATTCATGGATATACAAATATTCACTTGTCAAATAAGTATGAAAAAACATTTTCTCCAGAACCCTATTGGTTTGAATAATAAACAGCAGGTATATCAACATACCTCTCTATTTAATCTCCCTAATAATGGGAATTATCATATTAATGTATTCAAAGATCTTGTTGTTCAAGATTTGGAGAATCTTAATATTAGAAAACTGAGAGAAGGTAAAGAAAGTTATATTCGTATGAAAAATCGTTGGAACAGACGCGATTTAATTATTAGGCTGGCAGATAAAGGGGAGGGATAGTTTTGATGGATAAAACCAAATATATAGATAAGATGCAAGACATTCTTTGTCATGTTTCACATGACTGTCATATTGACTGTCATATGCCTTTAAGTGTTTCTATATTTTGTTTCTGCTCCTCCTTTCCTTTGGTTTAGTTAATGCTGTATAGATAGCCCTCCCTCTTTCCCAGAAATGCATTGCAGCTCTAGCCTCATGTTATGGAGCAGGACATATTATGATCTTTTGACCTATCGAATGTTAATTTTTGTAAGATTCTCTCAGTTTATGGAATAAACTTCACAAGATCTACAAGATGTCTTATCGATTGAGTCACTGACTGTGGTATCCAACTGAGATTGGAGTTATCGCTATCTCATCACAACTGTAAGTTACAGAGATAACACTATCAATGCTTAGATTGGAGAGACAGAACATCCTTAATGATAGCTCCACTTATGCCCCATTGACTAAAGATCCTACCAAGGGATATAAAAAAAACACAATCAGATTGTTAAAAGCGGTTATAATCTAGGGATTTTAAATAAAAAGGAACGTGATTATTTAGTTCCCAAAGCACCCCACATTCCAATCATATATTTTGTTCCTATAATTCACAAGGATCCAGCAGATCCACCAGGGAGACCTATTATTAGTGGTATTGGATCCTTGACATCTAGAATAGGAGAATATATAGATGTATTCTTACAAGCACTAGTAGCCGATACTCCCGCCTATTTAAAAGATACTAAACAAGTACTTAACAAGCTTATAAATATTGCAATATATGATCAGATGTTTTTAGTTACAGCAGATGTGACTGCCCTCTATACTAATATTAAGCATGAGATTGGCAAGGCTGCTACTCAATATTTTTTATTAAAAACTACCCTCTTTACAAATTGATTTCATTCTGAATTTATTAGACTTTGCCATGTCACACAATTTTTGCTGGTTCAACGGACAATTCTATTTACAAAATAAAGGTGTAGTAATGGGCGCTAAGTTCGCCCTGAGTTTGGCTAATCTTCATATGTCCAGGTGGGAATTAGATGCCATGTATAGCAACATTCATGAAACTCTACTCTTTTATAAAAAATATATAGATGATATTTTAATTTTATGAGGAGCTGATGAAATATCTCTAAAGGATTATATGTCCTATCTGAATGATAATAATCATAATATAGACCTTACATATACTTACAGTATATCAGAAGTTATTTTTTTTTTTGGATCTTAATTTGAAGATAGTCAATTATGAAATATATACTAAATCTTTTTCAAAAGTTCAGACAGAAATAGCTATATCCCCCTAAATAGCTGTCACCATCCGTTGTGGCTCAAGGACAGTTTTTAAGAATGAGACATAATTGCAAGAATTATGATGATTTTGTACAACAGTCCTTAAGATTAAAGGAGAGGTTTCTAGAGAAGAGTTATAAATCTAGATACCCTAAATCAGACCATTCAGGAAGTTGCTGATATTGATAGAGGTTCATTATTGGTCCCTAATACCAGAAATAGAAGTGCTACAGCATTAAACCTTTTTGTCCTTTGATCACCAATTTTTCAACCCAATACTCTCAAATTAGAAAAATCATGCAAAAAAGATGGAGTATATTACAAGCAGATCCTGTTTTAAATAAAGTATTGCCAGGCAGACCAGAAATTGTTTTCAGGAGGGCGTCGAATATGCGAGATCATCTAGCTCCTAACATCATTAGCCTTCCGAAAAAAAAAATCGGTTTCTTAAGGAATTATTAGGTTTTTATTCTTGAAATATGTGTATCATATGTAAAGTGGATAGTAAGAGGAAGAAAAAAATTTCTCCTCATCTGTCACTAACAAACAATACCAGTTCATATCTTGTGAAACCAGGTATTTAGTTTATCTGTTAGAATGTCCTTGCCACAAACAAAATGTGGGAAAAGACAGATTAAGAAAGCACGTTTACAACATTAAAAAAGGCTTTAAATATCAGAGTCTCTCAGCCCACTTCCGTACATGTCATAATAGAGACCCGAAGAGTCTGAAATTTTTAGCAATAGATAAACTTAATCCACATTGGAGAGGTTGTCATCGAACACGAGAGGTCTATAGGTTAGAAATGAAATGGATTTATGAATTACAATCTTTTTTCCCTAGGGGGCTGAATATTGACTGAGATGTTAATGCATTCATAGATACCAGTTAATGATTTTATTTTATTTATTATGTATCAAATTTAATTCTTTGAGGTTTAATATGTTTTTATTATAAATGTATTTTTATTACGCTTTGCTTTTTTCATATGCCCATAATTTGTACTAAATACACCACTTGGCAATCAATTTTTTCTTTTCATATGAATCTACATGCACATCTGTCTGCATTTTGCAGTGTGTGTTTCTGGTCAAATGTATGGCTCAAATTGCACTGCACAGAAATCACATGTGATTTTGCACAGGAATGCGGTGCAGTTCCTGTGCAAATCACATGTGATGTGCTCTGCCACATTAGTGTGAACCAGGGCTCAAAGTTAAGAATACATACTTGTATATAATTATTTTCTTTTTCATCCAGAATTTAGTGTCACTTTAAATGCTTCTCATGTCCAATCCTAAACAGTTTCACACTAATCATGCTTAGTATTGGTTACACTGAAAAATCTAAGCTTTCCACTCAATATTATTATATATACTCAGTATTATTATATTCTGCACAATATTGGCCTGTCAGCAATTTAAAAGCAGTTTTGCCCTATGGACTACTTGATGATGTAAGATAGAGGTGCACAATAACCTTTATTGTTAATCTACTGAGTCAGAAATGTTCACTTTCAACTTAAAGCAGAAACCCGGGAAACATTTTGTTTGGCCTGTGGAGTGGTGCTGCGCCGACACTGTGTGGGTCAAATGCTTGTTTTATTCTAGAGGAGAGGACACCAAAGATATACTCACCTGATCCGCTGATCCTCCCCGCACAAGATCGGTCCTTTCAGCTCCCCCCCGCATGGTCCAGAGGTCTTGTCTACCGCTGGACTGTGGGATAGCACAGGAGTGATATCATTGTGGCTCAGTCAGTCAAATAGCTGAAGCTCACGAACCCGGAACAAAGTCCGGATGAAGATGGGACTGCCTACAGCGGTGACGGTGCAGGGGAAATTTTTTGGGGAATTTTTTTTTGTGGTTTACTACCGCTTGAAAATTAACTTTCTAACAGTGTATGTGAAAGAATAGTGTGAACGCTTACTTTTCCTGCTGCCTGTCCTGCTGAACATTGCTCTGATGGGTAAAAATCTTCTTCCAAAGTCCACAGGGAAACAAACTCTTCCAGGTTGGTCTCCTTGCTCCCCTGCAGTGCTCGATGCTTCTTCTCTCCCCAGCGTAGTGACATAGAGGTCAATAGGAGAAACCAGTGGGAACTTACTCTACAGATCACCTTTTTCGGAAATGTCACTTTTGCAGCAAAGTTTGGAAGAAGGTATATACACTATTCTTTGACAAAGATGAATTTGGAAAGATTCCAATTTAATGACAAGGTTTAGGTTGGTGGTGGTTAATTGTTATAAACTTAGAGGCTGATTTACTAAAACTGGAGAGTGCAAAATCTGGTGCAGCTCTGCATTAAAACCAATCAGCTTCTAGGATTTTTGGTCAAAGCTGAATTGAACAAGCTGAATTTAGAATCTGATTGGCAACCATACACAGCTTCACCAGATTCTGCACTTTCCAGTTTTAGTAAATCAACCCCATAGTGACCATATTTTGTACATTTTTTTGGGGGGGTAAACCGTTTATGTACAATATTCACTCATTGGCCACTTTATTAGGTACACCTTGTAATTGCCAAGAAAATATCCCCCACACCATTACACCACCACCACCAGCCTGAACACTTGAGAGAAGGCAGGATGGATCCATGCTTTCATGTTGTTTACATCAACGTCTGACCCTACCATCTGAAATTGAATGCCCATTCTCCTCTGACCTCCGACATCAACAAGGAATTTATGACCACACAACTGCTACTCACTGGATATTTTCTCTTTTTTGGATCATTCTCTTGAAACCCTAGGTTGTGTGTGAAAATCCCAGTAGATCAGCAGTGCAGCTCCTCTGGTGCCAACAACCATGCCACAGTCAAAGTCACTTAAATCCCCTTTCTTCCCCATTCTGATGCTCTGGATGAACTTCAGCAAGTCGTCTTCACCACATCTAGATGCCTAAATGCATGCCATGTGATTGGCTGATTAGCAATTTGTGTTACCAAGCAATTGAACAAGTGTTACAATCACCTCCATGGCCACAGCTGTATAAAATCAAGCACCTAGACATGCAGACAGCTTCTACAAACATTTGTGAAAGAATGGGTTGCTCTCAGGAGCTCAATGAATTCAAGCGTGGTACCGTGATAGGCTGCCACCTGTGCAATAAGTCCATCCATGAAATTTCCTTGCTATTAAATATTCCACGGTCAGCTGTTAGTGATATTATAACAAAGTGGAAGCAACTGGGAACAACAGCATCTCAGTCGCAAAGTGGCAGGCCACATAAAATTACAGAGTGGGGTTAGATTATGCTGAAGCGCACATTGCGCAGAAGTCACCAACTGTCTGCAGAGTCAATAGCTGTGTGGCCTTTAGATTAGGACAACAACAGTGCATAGAGAGCTTCATGGAATTGGTTTCCTTGGTCGAGCAGCTGCATCCAAGCCTTACATCATGCAGTAATATAAAGCACGCCGCCACTAGACTTTAGAGCAGTGGAGACGTGTTCTCTGGAGTGACAAATCACTCTTCTCTGTCTAGCAATTCGATGGATGTGTCTGGGTTTGGCGGTTGCCAGGAGAATGGTACTTGCCTGATGGCATTGTACCAAGTGTAGTTTGGTGGAGGGGGGATTATGATGTGGGGTTGTTTTTTCAGGGCTTGGACTTGGCCCCTTAGTTCCAGTGAAGGGAACTCTTAAGGCATCAGTATACCAAGACATTTTGGACAATTTCACTCTCCCAACTTTGTGGGAACAGTTTTGGGAAGGCCCCTTCCTGTTTCAACATGACTTCTCACCTTTGCACAAAGCAAAGTCCATAAAGACATGGATGAACGAGTTTGAGGTGAAGGAACTCCACTGGCCTGACCTCAACCCAAAGAACACCTTTTGGGATAAATTAGAATGGAGACTGTGAGCCAGGCCTTCTCATCCGACATCAGTGCCTGACCTCACAAATGCGCTTCTGGAAGAATGGTCAAACATTCCCATAGACACACTCCTAAACCCTGTGGACAGCCTTTCCAGAAGAGTTGAAGCTGTTATAGCTGCAAAGGGTGGGCCAACTCAATATTGAACCCTACGGACTAAGACTGGGATGCCATTAAAGTTCATGTGCATGTAAAGGCAGGCATCCCAATACTTTTGGCAGTATAGTGAGTGTGTGCGTGTGTATGTTATATATATGTATATATATATATATATATAATTTTTTTATTTATTTATATAGTCTTATGCAGTGGAGTAAGCTTCTCCACCATACTTAATGTTGTCAGATTATTAATTATTAGGTAATGTTCAAGCCTAGATATCACATATATTGGATATTAAAAAATAATTACAATAACAAAAAATACACTTTCAAAGGAATTTAATGAAGCCTTAACAACACTTTGCCGGTCTCAGTTTTAAAATACCTGTGCCTAATTTGTGTAGATTCTTAAAAAATTGCCTCTATTTTGTAGACTATAAAACTGGCAGCAATTAAGACCAGCTCTCAGCTGGCATACGAAGGTACCCCAATGCTCAGAGTTGGGCATAAGAGCAAACAGGTGGCGCAAACACCTAGTGTATTAACCAAGGTTTATTAGAAAGTCAAAAAGATGAAAACATACTCACAGACATAGCATGTTATGTCTGTGAGCATGTTTTCGTCTTTTTGACTTTTCTAAAACCTTGGATAATGCACTAGGTATTTGCGCCACCTGTTTGCTCATTTTCCAGTTGTTGATTTCCCTGTCTGAGGAGGGTGGCATCCCCGAAACGCTATCCATAGGCCACCTTTTGGCATGGTTCCCTAGCTTCACTTTGGCAGTTGATTCCTGGAGCGCTGGAGAGTATACACAGTCATTAGAGTTGGGCATGCCTGTGATGGGAATCTGTCATGAATGTGACAGCTTCCATCACATGGCTCTATCCTTGGGCCCATTCAGCTGTTGGCTGGAAGAGTCAATGGCTGAGAGCAAAATGTAAAGAAAGGGGCCAGGGATACTGGTAATGTCATTACCAAATAGGGCAATGCCCATATTTAGGAAATAACTTGAGTCAATGTATGAGAGCAGCCTGGTGGGGAACTGAAAGACTAGTTACTTTTGATTGACAGTGAATGGCAGTGGACATATTCAAAAGCAGCTTATGGAATGAATAGCAGTAGTGGATCCACCCACTGCCATGCACTGTCAATCAACAGCAAGGTGGACCTGACTGAGAACTAGTCTCTCAGTTCCCCATCAGGCTCCACCCACTCACTACAAAACTTTTTGGCCATGCGCCTGTCAGTTTGACAGGTGCAGGAGCCATGGAGGGAATGCATTGAGGAAGGCGTATCCATGCTCTGACAGACTCATGTACCTGTCCCTGATACATGAAAGAGGCACAAGCACAGACAGTTGCATTGCTGCGGTCTAACAGAATTCTAAATTGTATCTGCAAAACCCTTCATCAAGTCCCCCCGCCATCATAAAACAGCATAATTTTCTAAAAAAGAAAGAAACTGAACAAAGATGACTGTCTTTGAGCATTCTGTTTATTTATAAGGTGTTAGTGTAGCTTTCTGCCATAAAGGACCTCTGGAGTGGTACTGACATGAATGAAATGTCAAGACACTTAGGGGTCTATTTATAAGTAGAGAATGTGACTTTTACAAACATTTACTGGTGGAGAGTCAGTCACTCCCATGAACCTGGACAATTCTCTAGCATAGAACACTGGTGAAAGTCACCTTCTCTACTGTAGGAGTAGACCCCTTTGGTGCTTTTCACAGTTCATTTTGTGTTTTTCTACATGTGTTTTTGATGCATTTTGTGTTTTGCTCAGCCCTTTTTTTTTTTTTTTAAAGTGGATTTTTTTTTGCTGGACAGAATAAAAATGATCAGCCCTTTTTTTTTTTTTTTTAAGTCTAATTTATTTTTTGCTGGATAGAATTAAAAATGCAAAACGCAAAATGCGGCAAAAACTTTCTTTCATGCATTTCAGCAGATTCTCCATTGAACAGGTCAAAAAAATCATAGATGTGAACATGTTCCATAGGAAACCATGTTAAATGGACTGTAGTGCATTTCTGCAAAAAAGCACTAACAAAAACACATTGGTGTGAATGGAGCCTAAGTGCCTGTGGCTATGGCAGCCTTGTATATTGAATTTTTGTTTCTGGAGACCCAACAGTGTGAGATGGGGAAACAGCTTTCATTGTTTGAACACTGATTGAAGTAAATTAAAAACGTTCTGACTGACATTCTGCAGTTTAGCCACAAGATGTCACTGTTTCTAACACACCTTCAGACTGCATAGCTATTTCTATATTCAATAAGGGGTGGGGTTTTCTCAAGGAGAAGTGAACAGGAAGAGAAAAGAGGAGCCATACTGGAGAGAGAGAGAAGAAGGCTGAGTGATCGGATAATCCGTTGCCATCGAGCTGTGTAGACTTCCCTCCGTAATCAGAAATCCCATTGAGTGAAGCTGATGGTGTTCAAGACGCTAATCCTGTTCAAAGAGGGGAAGATTTGCTGCCAGGAAGCTGATGAGGACAGAGGAGCAAAGCAACATACATTGCTGATAATATTGCATGCTCAGTGGAGAGACCTTGTTCTGTTCAGAGTCACCAGCGGATACAAAGCAGATCCGGGTCGGTAAGATCGTGCACGCACCTCATTTCGGTGTTGGCGCCTATAAGACTGAGACAGGCCTATAGTTAGTTAGTTAGGGTCTCTGTTTGTGTCAGGCCACAAGTGTTGTTACTGATCATTGGAAGGACTCCAACAACTTAAAGTGACATTTCACATTGGAGAACTGATAAAATCCTACAAACTCAAGCCAGACTGGCGTTTTGCTCAGAAGGAATACTCAGGCACGTGCTACAGGACCAGTTATGGGAGGGGGAATACTGTAAATTTGTGTAAGATTGTAAGCTGTTGTGCTGCACCGCAGGCTAGCCCATACCATACACCCATACACTGATTCCTGCTCTTTTAGGGTAATAACAGGTAAGGTGTGGCAGCTTAGTTGTGCCCACCAGTAGGTAAAATTACTACACTTTCTACCTTCATCCATCAGAAGGCGCCGTGCTGTGCAGCACAAAGGTCTCAGCCTTTGGGCTGGGTGTATGTAAATTTATTGTATGTTCCCAGAATTTGGGCTTGTTTATTTGCCACATCTAAGTAAAATTCTGTTGTGACAAAAGCTGGTGTTGGGGTTGCTTTCCTCGTTCGTGACTTCACTGTATCCTGGGGAGCCCACACGGCTTACAACTGGCTTTTTTATCTTATGAACATTTGGGTAATACATGAGTCTATTGTCATCGTTTTTATATACCAAACAAATATTCCGTGAACAAAACTGTTGCTATAAGCTGTGCTTTACTTTCTTTCTTTTTTTTGTCTATTTTTCTGTTTCTCTTTCTCTTATTAAAAAAAAAAACACCAGTAGAGAATTGTTCCCACCACACAGCGCCCATTGTTGTGTACATAACGTATAGGTGTTGGTGCGCAGTTGTGAATGTGTGCTACCATGTTCTGTGATACATCCTTAAAGTGCATTGCTGTTTTTTTCCTCCTTTATTTTATTTTTTAGCTTCTAGGTAATTCTATATGCTACAGTGCATTGCAATTAAATCACAGCATGATGTAATACACTGCAGCATGCCCTATTTTTGTTTTTTTTTTTGTTTTTTTCAGAGCAAACTGAAGTAATAGGGCATAAGGCACTTTGCCTTGTTTTTGCTTTAAGACTTTGCTGGGCAATGCTGTTCAGCACAGCCCAATGCTGCTGATGTGACCAAAAGCCTAAAACATGTTTCATTTTTAACACAACTGTATATTCAATTTACAATGATTACATTGTCCCAGGGATACCTGAAACAGTGAATTATTTTTCCAAGAGAGGATATTTATTTGACCTCTGCAGTCACATCTCAGTGATAAATGTGCTTTGCTTTTTGTCTCCATGAGAATGGTTGAGCTCAGTCTTTTACATGATACTCAATACATTTAATATTTGTCTACTTAGGATTAGAATTTTCTCTGAAATCGATACCCCTCTTTTCATCAGCTTAGAGAAGCAAAAGTATTTTCCTTTCAATAAAATATAATGGAGCTTCCGTGAAAACCGAGGACATATTTTTAGGACTTGCTGACCCTAAAGTAAGAAAGAGGACAAGCCTAGAAGTCGTCGGTGCTGAATGTACTTTATTATTTTTATCATACATATTTTTTCAAGATGAAAACTTTGCACAGGTGACACATTACTTTTACCTGTGCTTAAGGTAACCCACTGTTACTGGATTATCTTTAAAGTGCTAGAGCAG